AATCACTTCGTTAAAAACGAAGCCGGGCTTATAAACAGAAATTTAGGCAAAGATTTGATAAAATCGGCTGGAGAAAGTTGCATAAAGAACAGCTGAAAATAAAATGAATCCGAAATAGAAGCGCTCAAAGGAAATAAGTAAAATATGGTCCTTAGTTTAACTAATGAGCTAAAAGATTTGTATCCAAAATAGTAAACCAGAAATACATTTTTAAGAAGCTGTATCTGTATATATACCATTGTCCTCTATAATGTAAGAGTGCCAATGCAATAAAATATAAGTCAAAATCAACTTATTAAATTCATATTCGTTTTATTATGCGATTTTTTCCAAAAAGAGAAAAAATCAAAATGACAAGAGAAATAAGCTAGAAGGAATCTAATTGAAGTCATAAAAACGAAATATATTGCATAAAATGCAATTAATTGCGTATAATAAAGCTTTTATCCTAGTTGTAAAATTTTAGCAGTAAAATATTAAAAGTCGGTTAGGTAGCACTAATTTAATGGAGCCAAACGGAACTATTGTAAAAGCATAAATTGCAAAAGTAATTCTTCGCATACATGTAAATCTATATGACCTAAGATTATGTTTTTACTTTAAGGGAATAGAATATGAGGAAATATAATTTTGGAGGATGACAAATAATCCATAAATTTTAGTGGTAAAAATAAAAAAGGTTAAGGAGAATAAAGTTATCACAGATTGAGCAATTGTGATACAGTATAAGTAACATAATTGCGATATTTTGACGAATGCGACTAAGTATAATGAAAGATAGCAAGCAAAATTTATTATCAAGACGTGTATACTTACATTTTATGTAAAGTGAGAGAGCAAGGGAAACAAATGCGGCAATCATTAGTATGATAAGAGTCAAATCTTGTAATGCTTCAAGCACGAGTCTAATGAAGGATTTTGGAGGCTTTGGAGGAATAACGTTTGAACCAAATTTGGCAATTCTTTTTGAGAAGTCTGATTCCGTCAAGCCTGTAATAAAACAATTAATATTAGTCTAAATATCTCTGATATATACGGAATATTAGAAAATCTTGATATTCAAAATCAATGATAAAACCATGTTCTATCCGTTTAAATATTTATAAATATTTATTTTCACAGAAAAACGTTGTATTTACGCCAACGTTTAAAATATGGTAATGAACAGAAAATTATGCCGACCCAGGCCTGATTGATAAAAAAACAATGGCATAGGTTGATCCATATAAAGTAACAAGAGTGGGAAAGG